GAAGGCACAGATCGAGGAGGGAGAAAGTGATGCAACTATCATTGCAGACACAGAAACCAAACAAGGGAGACACACAAGTTCAATCATTTATAGAAAACACAGAAAGCGAAGAAGAATTCACTGCGCCATGGAAACCTTGAACTTGCATCCTGGGCACCCGTTTGCCTCCGGGCTGGGTTGGATCCACATTCTGGGCAATGTAGTCCAAGCAGTCCAGACTGGCAAAGGCAACCGTGTAACCCTACCCATGTAAGTATTGGCACTAACTATTTGTCAGACTTTGGTCCGTTTGGTGCAACAGGTTCTCAAAATTAGCAGATGACTAGCACATCTTCTAGCTGCTATTTGTGGCCATGACTATGGATCTGATTCTTGAGCAGGTGTAGGCTCGGAGGAACCGAAGTTTATTTACGACTAGTTGTCTAGTCTTGAAGAAAAGACCATACCTTGCACAATACTAATTAGTCGTGGGAAAGAAATAGCAGTGGTAGCTAGTATTGCTATAATGACGATAGATTTTTCCGTACCATCATCACCAGAAAATCGAACAGCAATGGCAGGTTTCCTGATAGATGGGGCTTGAAGAGTACACCAAAGGCCATATGTCACAACTGCTATCAAACCCAACTCGTCTAACAGCAGCAAGTGACGTGACAACATCCAGGGCCTGGTGAACAGCCTGGGGATATTACCGACACACGACCCAAAACACGAAGGTGGAGTCTGAAGTATATGCACCCGGCACTATTCAACTGGACAACCTGTGCATCTATTTTCCCAGGCCCTGTAGCACCATAAACCCCCACTTGCCCTCCAATTTGCACTTGCCCAACTTTGTCTGACAAGTGCACGAGACGGCAGGAGTCTGCTGATGCACATGGCCACGTACACAGAAACACACAAACGTATGCAAAGATGTGTAAGTCTGTGTGCATGTATGACCCGTATGTCGGTATATGTACCAGGACTCTATGTACAGCATGCCCTCGAGAAATCAGAACGCTATTCACCCTTTCAATTTCAGAATGTATCCTCTCAAAGCCATCGACAACCTGATGAACCTGTAGAGGCCCAGTAACAACCAGTACAGTTGTTAACCCCTGAATTTGCACCACACACATGATTACACAGAGGCTTTCTTTAAGCAGCACCCTTACCAAACCTTCACAGCTGCTATTTGCTGGTACTCCTGTGGATATTGCATACGTAGAGCCCAACGAGTGTTATGGAATTCGATTGTACCTAGAACATCACTGGTATTACAGGTTCATGACAAAGATTCATTTATGTGCAGACATTATGATATGTTCAAGCACAAACTCTGGATAGATATTGTGACATAGACACATAGATAGCTACTTAGTTATAGGTATAGACATAACATTGGCCAGAACCACTGCTAAAAGAGGTCACACACTCTCATCGTCAATGCTTCAATCATACTACTACATTCTGCATCGATAGTATATGCGGTTGTTCTTGATTCAGGACCCGAAACCAAAAAGAGTCTTGCCCCAAGGTATGTTTCGACCACCCCGAAATACATGAAGCCAAGGCTCATCACCACCGGCACACCCAGAGCCAGCAGCAGCATGCAACTGCGCGCTGAGACAGCCAATGGCCGAGAGCACCATGACTTTGCAGCTTTTCCACGGTGATCCATGGTTTCGAGCCGGTAACAAAGCCTCCCTTTCTGAGAAGCTAATAACACTATGTGGTGACATCTTCATCCAGGGTAGCACTGGGCTGCGAAGGCGAGTAGTTCCAAGCTGGTGTACATAACAGTGGCCCCAATTTGCAGAACTGGCTCTGGGTTGTGAAGTACCACTTGTAAAATTACAATCAACAGCTGTCTCGACTGCACTTGTTGTTGGAACAAATATGCAGAGACAGCCCTAAGCTTCGTGTGGAGAAGTCCGGGGCACAATCCTGTGAACACTACCTACCAAGTACCTGTCCCAGGCAGCAGCGAGCTTGGCGAGGTCCGAGGAAAAAGCGAGCCAACATGCAGCACCCGACTTGAGACACACACCTTCGCATTCGCCACATCAGGTATGTGGATGGATACCATTAGAATTGACTGCATCGTATCTATGTGCAGACCCTGCCACGGACATTAGCTCTGTTCCTGCTGCTGGACCAGGAGTCATCAGAACACTTGCCAGTTATGTTAATTAACCAGGACTTCATGTTTTTTCAGGGGGGGGGGGGCATAATTCAGTACATTGCAATAACCATCGCAAGCCACTTAACATCCTGCGAATTGTACTTCAGAAGGTTCACCTGTTAAGTAACATCGGGCAAACATGCCAAAACAACCTTTGCTCAATGAGTATGAGGGATTTTCTGAGCTGGAGATGCAGGGTTAGACAAACCTAGGCTGATCCTAACCGTAGCAATTTCCCATCATCTGAATATGAACATTGCACGATCACAGGCATACCACTTAAGTCTGATCTGGCACTCTATACCAGCTAACCTGGCTGGATAAAGTTACCCACAAACACAGACACCCGGGGCCTGGCTCCCAGGAGTAGTCGGCACCAGTGAGGGCCAAGGATTAAGTTCTTTGACTGGGATGGGTCCAATGTCTTAAAGGGTTCTGTAGGCTCTCACATTTAAAGACCAAAATGCTCCCAAGTATTCGATCTAGCGTATCTTCAACTGCCCTGGGGAGTTCATATGCTTGGCTTCATCGAACCAATCCAATCTAAATTTAGTTGAAGTACCATCAGGGGTGCCCAGTACGTACATGGGATCTGAGAAGGCTACAGAATGTACAGTGGAACCACCACTACACGGGCCCCAGCTGAACCTGGTTTTCGATGCAAGCAGCAAGCAGAAAGTCAGATTGAGTTGGGCCGATAGCCAGCAGGCACTTTCAGCATAGAACAGCTTGAGCTTTCACTGGGTTGCAAGGCGTTCCGACGTGGCCCCTACTGAACACATACATCTATCTGTGGCCAGCACAGCAACCTGAAGACAATGTCAGCAGCAGATCAGATGGCCCACCTAATCTAAGTTTAAGATTAGCTCTGATCCAAAATCGTAAGCTGAAGGACTGCTGAGGCCAGAGGCTCAGGCAAGCAAGATCCTGGTCAGCATGTCTGGCCTTGCCCAGCACATGCATTGTGAGAAGCCACGATAAAAGGGCACCATGAACTTGATCAGCCACAGACACCTGTAGACATGTGTCAACTTAGAGTCAGACCATGCTGAGCCTCAACGAAGCCAGTCAGCCCCACATCACTGGGTCCTCCTGGCAGGGCATGCAGGTCTAGTTCAAATGACATAGGAAACCCCTGCATGCACATAGTAACATGAAGGAAAGCATGGGGGGTCGTGAAGAAAGTCAAGTCTATGGTTTGGGCACAGGTAGGTGGTCTCCTTGGGGGTCATAATGGGTGTCTATATGGGGTACCGTATGCAGACACTAATGAAGTCCTTGCTCCTTATACATTGCTGTGGCCTGACTTGGACTCAAGATGTAATGTCCATGAATTTATACTTTATATACACAGATACTTGCGCATGTATATGTATGTGTGCCTCTCTCTCTCACTGTCTCTCCCTCTCTCTCGCTCTCTCTCTCTCTCTCTCTCTCTCTCTCTCTCTCTCTCTCTCTCTCTCTCTCTCTCTCTCTCTCTCTCTCTCTCTCTCTCTCTATATGTATATATATACAGCTATGTATACATAAATATATGCACTGACTTTTTAAGAGAAATCCCCGAAAGAATTCAGGACATCACATACTGGGCATCATCCACATGAGCCAGGGCCTTCGTCCAGCACTAAGTATATATATATGTATATATATATACATACATGTGTATGTATGCATGTATGTACATGTGTATGTCTATGCAATTCTACGCATTTCTACATCACTGTGATGCCCCCAAGAAGTGGTTGTTTGGCTCATGTTGAAACTTACACAGGCACATGAACACTGATGGATATTACCTAATGCCCAGATGCAGAGAAGAAGTGCCCAAGTAGATGCAGGTGTATGTACATGCACATACACACAAGACAAACATGACACATACATACATAGATACATAGACACTGAGGTATATGCACAGAGACACACCTAAACACATATAGATACTCCTGCATACATGCACATACATACAGACATGTTTGCTCGCAGGAGTTTTGTCCTATACATGTACAGACCAATACATACATACCTACACACATGCAGACAGACAGACACACAAGGCACACATACATACATCACAGAATTGCTCGGTAGTAGTAACCTTCAGACGAAAGGCGAAACCAATGGACCAGTACAGATGTCATCAACTAGACTTCGTGCGAACAGTGAAACTCACCCCCTAGTCCACTCTCTCTGTCACAAAATCTGAAGAAGCACGATCCCAGAAAAGGGGTGGTCCTTCAATCCCGCAACCAAGCTGGGGCATCATGCCATCCAGCAAAAAGCCGGGCCATGTCCCACCTGAGCAGGTCAAACCACTACGAGAAATCAAGATGATCTGCATCGCCTATTTCTTTTCATGATGTTATTGTTTCTTATTGCTGAGCACTCATCTGTACGGGGTGCACACGATGCAGAGCGCAAGCCCAGTGTGAGAGACAGAGATAGACAGAGAGAGAGAGAGAGAGAGACACACACAGGGAAGGTATCGTTCAAGCAGCATATTGATTTCTGTGTTGCCAATGGCAGTGCTACTTGCATATGAGCACAAAAGCAGCAACTGCCCTGAGGCTCTAGCGCATTCACGACTCCACCAGACAGCCTCCAGGCAACGTTGACCCCGCCCTTGGTATTGTCCTGTGACACAGGACGAAATTACCGGAAATGCAAGCTGCACACTCTCCAAACATTCGGCAATGCTCGATGGATGCAACACAAATCTAGGAACTGTGTATTTCTCACTTGCCATGCAATCGGCTGAAGGCTTAGAAGGGTACTTTATATAGCTTGCCAAACCATATCCAACAGCACAAAAGAATCAGCAGCAGTCTTGATTCTATTCAACAGAGATGGACACACAACCCAGCAGATGCTGCACCTTGTAGCTGGTCAGAAGCTTCTCGTTGACACGGGCAATCATCTCTTTGGCCACTTTGCTGCCCGGATTGACATAGAACGACTGTTCGGGGATCCTGGGCGAGGCAACTGCTTTTGTGTTTATGAGTGCATGCATGTTTGTATGCATGTATGTATGCACTTATGTACACATGTATGTATGCATGGATGGATGGGTGGGGATCTGTGACATGTATACGGCTTCTGTATGCAGGAGTGTATAACAATATGTTTGTGTGTATACTAGACTCACCAGACATTTATGTGTACATACATGTAAGCATGCCTGCATGCATAGGTGGATGCATGTATATGTCTTTGTACATACCTCTATAAACATGCACATTGATGGATACACACTCACACTCAGACACTTGCCTTCAGCAGCACACTACCTCCTGCAGCATGCTGGTATAGCAGCATACAAAACTTGCTTGGAACCTGGCCGACAACAGATGGTCACATAATGCCGGTTCTGGGCATTGAGCTTCACCATCGTCTCGTCGCTGGGGTAAAGTGTGAAGGACCTGAGCTCAACACCCCCCAAAGTGGAACATGTCAAACACTCTTTGGGTTAACTCAGAGTGACAAAACAGTCACACCCAGAGAACAACTCCAGGCATTGTGTGAGTAGCACACTGACATATTCATATTGACAAAGGGGCTTGGAGTTGGCATGAAACTTGAACTCGGGATCCATGCTCGCGAGCTTTTTCAGCAAGACCACAGTAGGATCCTGCTGGAGCCAGTGCCCATGCAAATGAATGCAAATTTCAAGAGGCAACAGCGACCTGAGCTTTTAATACCCCACAAAACAGTGCCATGGCACACTGCCTCATGCAAAGCTTAAACACAAACTCCGTCCTATCCTATCGAATAAACGAGGCACACATCCCTGCAAAGTGCAAACACACCCAGACATTCCAGGAAGCATCACCACACACATTACATACACAGGGCAAAGGCACCACTACAAGATTCACCTGATGCACTCAGTCCTCCGGAGCCTCCGGCTCTTTTGCAGTTTGCTCGGGCTGGCTGGCAGCGGCATCTTGGGTGGCAGCTGGGGGCTCGCCTGTCTTTGTCTTTTTTTTGGGGGCTCCAGCCTTTGGACCAGCTTTGGCAGACCTCTTGGACTTGGCAGGGTTTTCCTCAGTCTCTTTTTTTTTTCCTCATCCTCCTTTTCATCCTCATCCTTCTCTTTATCCTGATCCTTCTGCTCTTCTGAGCCCTTGCTTCCCTCAGCCTCCTTCGGCGCTCTTGCTGCCTCCAATGCCTTGCTCAAATTCCTCTTTGTTTTCTTTTTCCTCAACTTCTTGCCTTTACCACAGCCAGCAGCCGATCTCTTAGAAGGCTTCTCATTTCCTTCTTCCCCTTCCTCATCCATGGCCTCCTCTTCACGAGCAGCAGTCGCAGCCGAAATTCTTTTCTGAGCCTGGGTAGATGTTGAGATGTGTCCACTCTGTTGTTACATACAGAAGTCGATTGCACATCCACGATTCAACCAAGACAAGCACAGCAATGCATCACTTCGGCATTCAGCAGGTGCTCCATCAGAATCGAGACTGAGGACATGTCACAAGTGAAGTTATTGGATAATTGAACCCAGATACCTCCAAGAGATCAGCCTCTCCTGGTTCCATGGCATTCAAACGCCTCAAGGAGGCTTTTGCCTGCTCTTCCAGCGTCTCAGAAACTTCTGGCATCTCTGTCAATGGCTTCCGGTCCTGGCCAAGCAAGTAAGGACATGCATGGCACATCAACTTCCACCATTAAACAAATCTGTGATCTAGAGTTTGCAATCATGATTCCAGGACACATCCACTTTTCCTCAAGAAAGCCTCACCATTGCAGCAAACCGGTGCGATCAAGACAATATTGCTGAAGGCACAGCAGAACCATCTTACGAAGCCAACCTAGCCACATCTATCAAACCCAATGCAACGTCCACCTTCATGGCAGCAGTGGTCTCTTCCGCGTCTTTGCCTTTTTTCTTCTCCTCTCCGCACATTTCACCCGCACTTTGGGAAGCCTCTTCTTCATCTTTACACTCATCATGATCTTCACACTCATCATGATCTTCAAACTCCTGGAGGCACTCCTCCAATGCATTTGCATCCTCTTCAACAGGACTCACAAGCATACACTCATCATCTGTGGGTGTCTCTTCCTCCTGCCCTTCTTCCTGCATGCTGGCTTCCTCGAAATCCAAAGTGTGGAATCCAGATTCAGGCTTCACTCCTGAACCCGGGGTGCAGGGGCTTTCCGGAACTTGTGTGTCCTCCTCATCGGGC